CATACTGCAGGGTAACCAGCGACACCTGTACTCAGTCTAATCCATACCACAGGTTAACCAACGACACCTGTACTCAGTCTGATCCATACCGCAGGGTAACCAGCGACACCTGTACTCAGTCTAATCCATACCGCAGGGTAACCAGCGACACCTGTACTCAGTCTAATCCATACCGCAGGGTAACCAGCGACACCTGTACTCAGTCTAATCCATACTGCAGGGTAACCAACGACACCTGTACTCAGTCTAATCCATACCGCAGGGTAACCAGCGACACCTGTACTCAGTCTAATCCATACCGCAGGTTAACCAACGACACCTGTACTCAGTCTGATCCATACCACAGGTTAACCAACGACACCTGTACTCAGTCTAATCCATACCACAGGTTAACCAACGACACCTGTACTCAGTCTAATCCATACCGCAGGTTAACCAACGACACCTGTACTCAGTCTAATCCATACCGCAGGTTAGCCAGCGACACCTGTACTCAGTTTAATTCATACTGCAGGCTAGCCAGTGACGCCTGTACTCAGTCTGATCCATACCGCAGGCTAACCACCAACACCTGTACTCAGTCTAATCCATACCACAGGTTAGCCAGCGACACCTGTATTCAGTCTGATCCATACCGCAGGCTAACCACCGACACCTGTACTCAGTCTAATCCATACTGCAGGCAGGCATGAAGCAGTGTGGACCAACAAGAAGTCAAAGCTTGATTTGGGGCTGTAGAGATAGTTGGTAAAGTACCTGTCATGAAAGCCTGAGACCCAGAGTATAAAAATACCAGCACTGGTCATCTCAGTGCTAGGAAGGCAGAGATAGGAAGACTTAGGACCTGCTTCGGCAATCCAGACTAGCCTCATTGGCGAGACTCAGGTCTCAGAAGAAGGTGTTCTTGTCTCAAAAAACAAGGTGGATAGCAGCTGATGAAGGACATTCAAGGTTGATCTCTTCATGGGCATACATGAGCATGTGCATACACACGTGTGAGAGCACATACACACATCCTTAGCTGGGTGTTGTCACACACATTTGCAATCCTAGTATATAGGAGGCTAAGGCGAAAAGATCTTGAGTTGCAGAACAACTTGGGTCACATAACAAGACCTCATCACCAAAATAGAATAAAAAAAAAAATACATGGATGAAGTGGGCTCCTTACAGAGGGTTGAGAGAGAAGCAGAAGCTTGGAAGAGAGCAGCACCTTTGTGTGGTTTTGACTTTTACAATTTTAAATCATGTTAATGTTTTACGTATTCAAGAAGTAAATTACCAAAAAGGGAACTGTCTTAAAATTGCAAAGAAACGTGATCCAGCTTTATCCTGATGAATTACATGCTGATGTTGAAGAGGGGGTTAATTTTAGTAAGTTTTGAACAGAATACACCGAGACAGCATTAAAACCTCACACAAATCTTAACTTGTTTATAGGTTATTTTTCATAGTAGTTCAAGAACTGGGGTTGGAATGAAGCCAGCAGTGTGTGCACAGCACGGTGGTTTTTCTGTGTGCGTGTGAAAGAGTGGGTGCCTCTGTGTGTAAGTACATGTGCACACATACTGTGCCCTTGCTCTTGATGTCCCAGTAGTGACAAGCACACCTAGTGCTCCGGTGTTGCCCACTGAAGTATGCTGGCATTTTTAGAGACGTGGTAGATTCCATGGTAGGGTGACACGATGACCCTGGAGGAACGTCTTGTGCCCATCCATGACTGATGGCATCTCACAAGGACTCCAGCGAATATCACAGAGAGGATGCCACTGGCCATATTGGTGACATCGGCGTCAAGCATTCACGTGAGAAGAGTCATACCGTGTAGTCCACTGGGAACAGGACCCACGTGCTCATACCAACGCTCAGTTCTGTTGCTGTGGTGACACACCATGGTCAAGACCGCATAGAAGGAAGAGCTCATTTGTGCTGAGTGGCGGGTCCAGCTGTCAGGCGCAGCGCAGGGGAAGGCCAGGCCGCAGGCGCGGGGAGCTGAGCTCTCATGTCTTCGGACACAAGCAGAAGCACAGAGAGCAAACTGGAAGTGGAGTGAGGCTTCGGTTTCAGATCCCGCCCTCAGTGACATACTTCACCACGTAGACCTCCCCAACAGCGTCACTCACTGACTGGGGACCGAGTTCAGATGCGGGACTGTGAGAGACATTTCTCCTTCAGAGCCCCGAGCCGACAATGCCGGTAAATGTTACAGAACGTGTGGACGGAAGGAGGCGCGTTTCTGTGCAGTAGGAAGGGCACTGTTTTCTTTAAAAACAAAATAAAAAACCCACAGCTTTGCAACCACCATAGTAAACATTAATTCAAGGGAAAGGCACCAGTGTGTGAAGCACTGGGCTCTCTCTACACTCTCACAACATCTCCCCATCGATAAGATACTTATTATTACACGAGGAGACTAATAACCATACAGTAAGGAAACTGGGCACAACCCCATTATCAAAACTAACATTGCCGATAATGGAAGAAGTGTTGTATTTATACCCTGAAAAGGACTCAAAATACCGAACTTCGGACAACCTGAGAGACCCCTGTAAAGTCCCTAACCTGTATTCTTCAAAAATAAAAATGCCACAAACTGCTCAGGTTAGAGGAGATGAGGAGCCTGTTCTACCTTAGTGAAGGCTGTGAACCAGGCCAGGCATCGTGGAGAAGTTATCTCACAGCGAAAGGCCATCTTGTTAATGGTTGGTGAAGTGGACTCTAGGCTGGGTGAGAATGAATACCAGTGTCAGATCCCTGCTTTCAAGCTCCGTCAGCAGCTAGAGTGAGGAGGCTGGAGGTGAAGCCACTCGACAAGACCACCAGTGCCGACTCTGGGTTCCTAGGGATCTTCTGAGGCTGCATGCTTGAGATTGTGTTAAAGTCCAAAGCATTGCAGTGATAACACCTGAGATCCCCCTGCCTGGGGAAGGCAGGTTTACAGCTGACCACACCAGCCAGGCCCTTGGTCCACAGCCTCTGCTACAAAACTGTCCTTCCACACTTGGTGATCAGAAGTGTGTGAGTAGGCTTCTCCCACGTCCCTGTCCGAGGCTTGGGTCAGGACTTTTGCCAGAAACCTGCCGACTGCCTGACAACTTCAGCTGATTGTTGGGTCCGTCAGTCCCTTAGCCTGGCAGCTTCTTGCTTCAGGCTTGTATTTCACTAACTCTCTAGGTTTTAGCAGCAGAGGGCCAGATGTGCAACCAGAGTTTCTTTTTATTTGCTTATTTTATTTTTAGAGACAGGGCCTCACTCTGAAGCCTAGGCTGGTCTCAGTTCATGGTCCTGCTGCCTCTGCCTTCTAGTGCCGGGATTAGAGATGTGCAGTGCACCGGCCAGCAGAGTTCATCTGCCTCATCTTCTTGATCAGTTCTCTTTGGGGTTGGCAGCACACACCTTTAATCCCAGCACTCGAGAGTTCGAGGTCAGCCTGGTCTAACAGAGCAATTCCAGGACAGCCTGAACTACACAGAGAATCCCTGTCTCGAAAAAACCAAAACAAAAAAAACAATCCCATAGGCAAATACCATCCCAGAGGTGAGGAAGAAATGTCTCAATCATTTGCATTTGTCAGACCCTAGAATGACAGAGAGTAGTCACCCATGGGGTGAGAACAAACATAAGACCGCTGTGAGTCACATTCGTCAGGTATTTGCAGGTGAGCTGTTTCTTGGATTTGGCAGTTTGGGGAGAGGAAAAAAAGATACCAAAAGGAGGAGGAGGAGAATGTGAAAATGTCATTGTCTATGGGGTTTCCCCTAATGAGTCGTTTTTCCTTGATCCTCCCAGAATGACAGTGCTAAGGATAGCATGTTGTCAATATCACTGTGTAGGAGCTGTGAACTCTCCCTCACAGTCGTTGTGAGAATTTGCACACTCAGGAGAGGTCAACCTGCCTTTCTCCAACCACCTGTCACGCCTTTCTCTCCTCCCCATCCCCTCTCTCTTTCTCAACTTGCTTCCAGCATCTTGTTTCGATGTTCCTGATCGGGGCAGACCATCAGTGTTCACATAGCCCATAATTGTCGTGCGCACTCTTGGTGTGTTATCATAGAAGAATGAGAAGCTGGTTTTGGTGGGGTGTGGTGGTGCACCCTTTAATCCCAGCACTGGTAGATTTCCATGACGTTGAACCTGCATCTACACAGCAGGTTCCAGGCTAGCCAGGGCGGTCCAGTGAGATCCTGTCTCTTAGAAAAAAAGACTTGACTTCTAGAGACTCACAGTTAAGTTCAGAAAGTTGTAATTGATGTGTGATCTCAATTAGTTTGTTAAGGTGGGCCACTATCAGAAATGTGATTAGCACGTTTAAATATGATCAAACTTTTTATCCTTAATTTTTCAATTCAATGCATTTGTATTTTTAAGTGTTAGGGTCCCATGTTGTTTGCTTTTGCAAAGCTGAGGATGAACTACAGCCTCACCTGAGTCATGTGACTTGTCATTTATTACACGTGTGCGAGTGGGTGTGTGCAGAAGCCAGAGGTGGTCATGAGCCACACAGTGTGCTTCCGCGTGCTAGGAATCAAGCCGTAGTCTCTGTCAGAGCCATGTACACTTGTAACCACGGAGCCCCTTTCTAACCCTTGACTCATGTAACTTTACTACAGCAAAGAAACAGTAACACACAAAGAAGTCCTGTCTCAAAAAACCAAAAACAAAACAGTGACTTTCTAAACTCAGAAAAATGTTTAAAAAAAAATCCTCCTATGCACACAGAGCTCAGGGATTTTAGTGAGAGTTGTGCGAGCAAACCCAGTCAGTGGGAACTATACCCGTGGACTTTGTGAGCCAATATTCAGAGAAAATGTTTGTATATTAAGGTGTTGTGTCACAAAATAGCATGCAGCCATCGGTGCCTGCCATCTCTGCTGCTTCTGTTTTTTGAGATTCCAAATTTTTCAAAACCCACCCTATTTTCAGTGGGTAGAACCATGACCCCTTTGCCAGTTCGTCACCCATTGGAGGATGGTATCCCAGCTCCGTTTCATACACCTGAAAGAGGCATTCATGGAGGAGGCTGGGGTGAAGGTAGAGCCATACATCACTGGGTATCTATCTAAAGGTGACCCCAAGAAGCCAAGGAACAGGATGTCACACCTGCCTTCTTTAGGGAGACATGCAGTGAGGAACATCAGAGAAACTCAGTCCTGGCCTTTCCCTAGAACTGTCAAGAGGTCCTCAGAGTTGTCAGTGCTGTGTGCAGGGCAGAGAAGCCCCGATGAGACAGGGCAGAGATGGAGGCCACCGTGATAAGGGACTGAAGGACTGCAGCAGCCCATGGGGAGAGGAGGGCACTGCACTGATAGCTACACCACAGGAGAAAGATGACTTTCCTCCCTAGCTGGGGCTGGGGATTTGTGAGCCCCTCCCCCACTGCCCTGGTACTTGGTGCAGTGGTCATTGCTCTGTGAGCTCATGAGTTCAGTGGCCACCATCCCGCTTGCCTGGCCAGGTATTCTGATACCACACTCACTCTAAAAACTAGCAAATCAGCGTCACCATCTTGATGACCTCAGTTTGTTCCCTGAGACTCACGTGGTGGAAGGTGAGAAACTGACTCCCACAAATGGTCCTCTAACCCTCACGCATACACCATGGCACATGCCCAGAAATAAACATTACAATCTTGGTCCCTGAATAAGGTTTTAAGTAACAAATAATGAAATTTTGTCAAATTTATATATTTTTGTTTGTTTGTAAATCAAAAGAAGAAGGGAAATATCAAATATCCCTGCACATAAACAGTGCGCTCTCTGCTAGTCCCACACAAATGCGATAAACACACATGCTGAACCAAAGCTGACAGAAGGGGAATCGCACTTCCTTTCCCAGTCATGTCTGACTTCATTTTCATTAGCCCGCAGTCAACCTGGCTGTACTGCCCACCCTAATGATGCTGGGAAGACAGGCGTGGGCATGGAGCTGCCCTTTCCTGAGGACCTGCTGCATGCTAAGCCATGGACAGGGGTCCCTGACAGGGATGTAAATCACAGGAGGTGAGAGGGGGTCAGATTAGGATGAAGAAGAGCTGCATCCCCACAAGGGATGTCCAGGGCAGCACTGGGGAGGGAGCTGGCACTGACAGGTAACAAATGATGCTTATAAAAGAGAGGCAAGGCTGCCCTGGCCTCGCCTGTCCCATCCATGTGATGTGAGCTGGCGCAGAGGGGCGCCCAGCTGTGCACGGGGTGGGGCCGCTATCTGGTGGGCATCTCGATCTATGCGCACCAGAATTTGGGAAGTTAAAACCCAAAACACTATTTGTTTTTGACACTCTTAGCTAAAGGGAAGTTAAAGAAAACCACAACTTTGTTGAGCAAACCAAGCCATTGTCATTGAAGTTGTTGCTGTGTCTTGTTGGGATGAAGGTCTGTCCCATTTGACTTGTATCACAGGAGCTGAGCTGGGGCTGGAGAAATAAGGTAATTATCCTGAAATAGGGAGATGTGAAGAGGTCATCAAAAACCGTATCTGCGTGTCGGTTTCCTCCCACAGTGTGGTCTGTTTTCTGAAGAACATGTAGGAGGGAAAAGTATGGTCTACCTGTTGTCAGCTGACAGTGACAGTGCCCTTTGGCGGCTGCAGTTCCAATCGTGTCCCCTTTCTTGGGTCATCCAGCCGCAAGACTTCCTCATGTAACAGGAGGCTGAGCAGGCCACTGACGCCAGCGGTGGGCTGTGACGACAGGCAGCTGGCTGGATTCACAGTCCCCTCTCAGTGGGAGGGGGCTGGACACTAGCTCAGATGCACGCTCAACCCAGGGAGGAGGAGAGAGGAGGCTCCCCTGGGTGCCCTATAGATTCTGTTGTCTCAAGCTCTCACCTCAGTCACAAAAAATAAGTATTGGATATTCTGCAAGACTGAAAAGGAGCTGGTGTGATCCCTTGTACCTGTCATCCCCACACTCGGGAGACTGAGGCACAAGATTGCTGCAAATTTGAGGCCACCTTGAACTGCAAAGTGTAAGGCCAGGGCTATTTATCAAAACTTTGTCTCGAAAGTAGATTAGATAGATAGGTACATAGATAGGCCGACAGATGATGGAGAGATGATAGGTAGATGACAGACAGACAGACAGACAGACAGACAGATAGATAGATACACAGATAGAGGCCGAGAGAGCGGAGTAACCTTGTTGAGCATTAATCACCCGTGGTTGCATTCTAAACGAAGCCAAGCAGAGGGTGGATTAGAATTTGGACTAGAACCCTCACTGCACGCTAAGATGGTCATTGGCAGGGGTTTTAGACAGTGCCTCCTGTGGCGCCAGAGCAGGAGGGAGGTACCCAGTGGGCTGAGAGAGACAGCAAAGACAGGAAAGGCTTTTCAGAAAACTCCCATGGGGCATTTTCTAAGTTTCCCGTACAGATTGCTATCAACCTGGTGTCTGGTAGTGACTTGGATGCAGCGTGTGTGGCCTGCTGGTGGCTGTGCGGAGTTCTCGGTGTCTTTATTCCTTAAGGAGCTCACGTCACTGAGCCTGAGCACCTCACCATCAGCCTTCATCTAACCCGTGCTGGGCTACAGGACATGTCCAGCCTTCCTCCCGGTGGGGAGAGGTTGACCTGGCCCCAGACGTTGGTGAAGTCATCACCTATCAGGGAAAAAACAGCAAGTGGATTGCCAACTACCCCTTTACTGTAGCTTTCAGGGCAGGCCCTAAAGGTCTCTCTGATAAGCCCGTACCAAGCCATCAACAGTGAGAACACCAGACACACTTGTTGTCTTAGCCCGGAAAAACACATAAGTATGGCGGCCAGATGCAGTCACAGGCACTTGGCGGCTGACCACAGCGTCCGAAGCACCAAGCTTGCTGCTCACCTTTAGCAGGACAAGACTCTTCAGCAAAGACCTGTGAAAAACCCAGCTCACTTGTCAAACCAGCACTGGTGGACACGTGGTTGTTCATGTCTGACAGGAGCGATCGCGGGAGATTACACACAGAAAGCTTTCATTCTCATGCCAGACGCTGCTCACAGGGCAGCCTAACGCCCCATACCCAAGGGCTCCTGTGCAGTCTGTGCTGCCTGCCACTGTGCATCTCACACCTTGTACCTGCATCTTCTGGATTCTCACGTGCATCATCAGTACAGGGAAAACTCAGGTACCAGGTAGAAGCTGTGGCCAGACATCGGTGCCCACCCTTGTCAGCCCCTGAGACGGCTGCCTGTCAGCAGCACATAGACCTGCTCCTGGCCAGGTACAAACACAAGTGATCCACAGCCATGCCTGAAGTACTTAGCATGACAACACGCATAGAAGAAGGGCCTTTCCCACACAACTCAGTCATCAGCAGCCTAGTTGTTGATTGGCTGATTGGAAGCATTGGGAACTTGTTCATAGACAACACACAAAAGCAAATTGGAACCACCCAACTATGACTGGCCCAAAGACAGTGCAGAGAACAACCTTAGGTGTCATTGGGACCCAAGGCTGAAATGAGACATCAGAGTGCTTACATCAGCGAGGTTTTTCTCTCCTGTGACTTGTGTCCCACAAGCTCCCCAGGCCCTTGTCACTCACTCAAGCTGATGGAAGCTGGGGAGGGTGGGCAGTAACGCTCACTTTAAAGGGCCCCAAGGGAAGGAGAGAATAGCATAGAAATCTAAATGGCAAATTTGGTATCTGACGGCATGAACCAGATTAGAACTAGGTGATGTGTAAATGTCAGAAAAAGCTCTGTGGGCTGAGGATACCAAAATAACCCTGTTGACAGATGTCACTGAGAGGGACGACATCTCATCACTACAGAGATGTCCATCCACCTGTGGAATGGAGGGTAGAAACAAAATGGCCTGGGTTTGAAACCGATTAACCACTGAACATAGAAGTTGCTCATTGGCTCAGGGCTCTATCTTTGATCTAACTTGTTTAAACACTGTCTTCAATAATGATTCAAATGAAGTTTGGAGGTTTGCTAAGCATAGTGGGGAGATACAAGTTTGGGAAGGATGACTGACAACAGCATTGGAATGAAAAGTAACTCCTTTGGGTTGGCTGGAAAGCAGCCAGAGATGCACAGTCTTCTTACCTAGACGGTCACTGTAGGGTTTGAGAAACCCAGCCTGAGTGTGTCAGGTGAAAATATTCAAGTTTTAGCAGGCTTCTGCCAAACTAGTTTACACATGCTGTAAACTCTTTACATAAGTATGTGTATGTATATGTACATACACAAATACACGCGCACACAGACACACACCGTGGAGTTGCACACTGCTCTGGGTACCACGTTTTCAGATGTTAGAAAATGAGAAAATGAGGACTGGGGTTCAAAGCACTGGAATCTGAGACACAGCGTCACAGTTTAATATGCAATTTCAATGTAAGCTCAAGTATTAAAACTTCAGTACCTAGTTGGTAGCACTGTTTCCGTAGGTTCTAGAAATTTTAGGGAGTGGGATCTAACTGGAAGGAGCAGGATACTGGGAGAGCTTGTCTTTGGGTGTCCCGTCCCTGTAGGAGAGCAGGTCCTTGGCTGTCCCGTCCCTGT